CCAGCTTCCTAGCATCTCCTGTTCTGGGGTTGATTTAATTTGATTCAAAGTTGCCCATGCTCAATCTCCTCCCTGGTGGTTCCCTTGTGTCTGAAGTGGGGCACCAGGCTGCAGGAGCCCCTTCCAGAAGCAGACCTCACAGGGGAACAGAGGTCATTTTGCCTTGGAAATAGAAGAACGAGGGACCAAATATAGCCTCTGCACTTACACATTCTCAAGGGAAGGCAATTTTCAGTGGAAAATGCTCCTGGCCAAACAGAGCCTGTGAGCCCTGTCAGCTCACGTGGCTTCAAGAAGGAAGTAATTAAATTCACCTGCACCTGCACGGTACCATGTTCACAGAGGAGTGTGGGATTGGAAGGCAAAGGCCATGGGAGCCGCTGATCCCTGCATCCCTGTTCCACGGCAGGACTAAAGCCACCCCAGTCATAAAGAATTTACAAACTAAATGCACAGATAATAACTTCCTGGTCATGGATAGGGCAGGAATGTGTGTTTCCAATCAGCTGAGAATGGGCCTCCGATGGTAGGTTTTATTTTGCTTTAATCCTGCTGTGGGTTCCCGTTCAAGGTAAAAGGAATCCCAACCCTACCATGTGAAAGGTACTCGTTAAATTCAGCATTTCCTCTGCAAGCTTGAAGAGCTATGTTCACGCACTCCTCCACTCCGGAACTCTGGATGCTCCAGAAGGAGCTGGTGTAATCGTGAGGGATTCAAAAGCAGGGCAAGGTGTAAGCTGGAGGAAAGACAAGCCACTCTTCTTTCCTGAACAATGGGGACATCAGCCAGGGCCAGGGGTGTGGGGTGGAGGCTGAGCGAGAAGAAGCAGAGCAGAGCTTGAGGACAAGAGCAACTTGGGGTGGGAGGTGAGGCAGGTGTGCTACAGGTAGCAGTGGGCATGGTACACACTGGGTGAAGCAGTTGGCTCCTCATCTCTGCTCACGACAGCCTGGTGGCTCAGTGGGCAGCTGAAGAAAGTATTAGCTTTCGGTGCCTATTCCAACTTCACTCTTTAGCCCATGGGAGACCTAGGACCAACCCTACCACTCACTGTTTCCTTGGCAAATTCTCAGTGAAGCCTTGAACGCCAGCACTCCTTCTTTCACAAAACAGTCCTTCTGGGCAGCATTGCCCTCGCCCATCCCTTCTTTGTGGATACGGATGCCTTGGGGTGACTTCCGGGTGTTCTGTGGCTCCAGTGGGTTTGGAGTGTGTGATCAAGGAGAGGGGTTAACCAGAAATCGCTGAGATTGGTGGGTCACAGCCCAGGCACAGCCAGTCCCTGTGACAGCTCAGAGCTTTCCCCCACATCTCCTGGAGGTGCCCATGCCTTGGGTGCCTTATTTGGACCAACAAGAGATAGCAACTGCCAGGTGACTTGGTGCCATGGGGCCCTGTCAAGTCCATCACACTTCTCAAATAGATAGCAACCAGAATCCTCAGGTTGCAAGGTTCTGCCTGGATTGGAATTACCCAAGAACTAGAAAGAAGCACCAGCCTCCTTCTTTCCAGCTTAAGGCCCTGGACACTCCCCTCCCCAGAGGCCCGGAAGAGACAGAAATGGCCACTTCTGCTATCTGTCTGCCCATGGCTTCTTGGCCCTCATGGTCCAGCTGGCCAGCCATCTTCCTAACACTTCCCATCGAGCCTGGCCTCAGAAGGAGCCTGGCTCAGGTTCACCCAAGGGGACTGCAGCCTCCACCAGCAGTTCCCATCTAGCTGTCCCCCTTTTTCCTCCCAGCTCCAGAGCAGACCCCAGGAACCCAACATTCAGCCAACTGTGGCCCTGTCTGTGTGGAGTGCAGGGTCTTGCCGAGGAAACAGACACAGGATGTGTGGTCACTGAGTACTGACATCCCACACAGGGCTGCTGCCCTCAACCACTGCAGGCCATAGCAGACTCCCCTGGCATGACCACCACCATGTTCTCCTGGTGTTGCATGGCCACAGCATTTGTCTGTCTTGGCCTGTGGGACCGAAGGATGTTGTGTCTCATGGACATAGACTGGAAAGGGTGGTTTTCTGGAAAAGCAAGAGGGCAAGTGTGGAGACACCTAGAAGGGTATGAAGGGCTGCTCTCAAACTTTCTAGAGTCGTCTCATCTGACGACATTGTTGGGCGGGGGTCTGCCTAGATGTAGTTGTGTTGGGCTGGGGTCTAGATGTAGTTGCTATAGCTCCTTATGGTGTGTGTGTGTGTGTGTGTGTGTGTGTGTGTATACATCCATGTCCCTCTACACATGGACCACCTGCACATGAGAACCAAGAGCTATGTGGAGATGGACTCACTCACCAGCTCAGGCTTGGCAGGCAAACTGCTGAGTGCACAGACCAGGGCCTGAGTCAAACTGATAATCCAGCTGTTGGGAGGGAGTGGGTGTGGGGAAGCAGGGAAATGAGGCTGGGCAGAGCTGTCAGTGTCCTGAGAATGCAACACTGCGCGGGAAGGTGTGAGCGTCCCAGGGAGAATTCATGAACCCGCGGAGTCTGGACCACGAACCAGATGTTTCCTGCTTCCTCCTCCCACCCCACGTCTGGCCTGTCATCCTTCAGCCTTCCATGTGGTTCATCCCGAGTCTCTGGCTTGGGATGCTTCACCTCACAGACGCGTCACCCGCGAGGGCCAGAGTCTCAGAGCTCCCTGGGGAAGAAGCAGCAGCTCTCTTTCCCACAGCCTCAGCTGGAATGGGCCTGCTCCTTCCTGGAGGGGTGAGCCCTCTCCCAGGACCTAGAGTGGGGTGCCTGGTAACAACAGGGTATCCAGAAAGCTCTGGTGGCACCAGAGTGCCACTACCAGCTTCCTGTCTCCAGCTTTTAACTTCTAAGCAGAGGCTCCTGGCCACCACTTTTTGGGTTCAGCAGGTAGGCAGCTGCCAGCTGCGCATGCATAGTTCAGGGGACATTCTGTTCTGGAAGGGACCATTGCTGCCTTTGGCACCTGCTTGTGAGATGTGAAGGCAGCTCCAGAACAGGGTACTACATCAGCCTAATTTCCTGTGACTTCTCCATGCCAGCTCAGACCACTGGCCTCCCCTTCTAGCAACACCACCTGTTGGGCCTCCTGACTTCCCACCAAGTCCATGGTAAGACAACAACCTTTTCAGGGAATTGGAGTGTTGGGAAAGGCTTTGGGCTCTGGATTGGTACACGGGGTTTGAGTCTTCCTTAGCTTCTTATGCATGAGGAGCCCTGAATTGAGGGCCCGCTGGGTTCCCTCCACAGATCCCATGAGAATAATGTATGCACTCTGAGAGCCTCCTGGGTGCCAAACACTGCCCTTAGGCATTTTTTTAGAGATTTATTTTATTTTCATTACAAAGTCAGATATACAGAGAGGAGGAGAGACAGAGAGGAAGACTGTCCGTCCAATGATTCACTCCCAAAGTGACCGCAACAGCCGGTGTTGCGCCGATCCGAAGCCGGAATCAGGAACCTCTTCCAGATTTCCCGCATGGGTGCAGGGTCCCAAAGAATTGGGCTGTCTTCGACTGTTCTCCCAGGCCACAAGCAGGGAGCTGGATGGGAAGTGGAGCTGCCAGGCTTAGAACTGGCGTCCATATGGGATTCCAGCGCATTCAAGGCGAGGACTTTAGCCGCTAGGCCATGCTGCCGGGCCCCCCTAGGCATTTTATAACTGCCATCTCCTAACCTTCCCCCACCCCACCACCATGGCTTCTCCACCTTGTTCAGATTTGTTGCCTTGCTTGTAAAATGGAGTTAGCACTGCCACCTGTCTGGGATACGGTGAGGGCAAAATGGGGCACCTAGCAGAATGATGTGTCTGCAGTGAGCACCAAGATGAGGCCATTCAATAACAGAGCTAACGTGACTGTCACAGTGGTCACAACAGGGATCCAGCAGTTACTGGCTCCTCCCTGAGGCTCTGTCAGCCCCCGAGAACAGAGTCCTTGCCTGCCATCTCCTGGGGCACTGCACACACATGGCACAAGCCAGGCACTGGAACCAAGTTTGTTGAATGAGTGAGAGCCATTGTCGGCTCTCTGCCTCCTGGCTCTGCTCTGAGTTTTGCCTCATCCCTTCCTTGAGGAGCAAGCATCCTGGGTATGGTCCCTTGCTAAGATGCTTGGGGCTGGGGTATGGATTGACCACTGCCCTTGTCTCCTGCCTTGGGTGCAAGTGCAGGCTTCTTGGTGGGTGGGCAATGGCCTTGGGCACATGAGCCAGTCAGACAGCTGGCAGCCCTGGACCCTCCATATGTGGATGCCTAGCAGTGAGATCTGGGACCCGGTGACTGTCGGGCTGGTTTTCTCTCCCTGTTAGTGGATGAACTGCTGGGCTGAATTCAAGCCCGACCTTCCCCCCTGTTCTGCCTACACTTAGTCCTGGGAGGCGGGGTTCTCTTCCCCTGAGGACCTCTGGCTTCCATCAGCCAAGGCTTTGAACCCAAAGCCAAGGTGAGCAGGGGAAGGTGAGGAAGAGGAGGGTGACGGAGACGTACAGACCCAGCGCCCGCCTCTCATGCCCAGAATTCCTGAGCTCTGCTGCATTCTTTGTAGAAACCTGAGCATTATCTTCCCAATTTCCTCTCACACCTCCTCCAGCTTCCCCACCCTTGCCTCTGGGAGACCGCGTACACTCGCTCCCAGTCCAGCTGGGGACCAGAGGGAGCCTATTGAGCATGCCAGCTTAATGACAGGCATGCAGTTTATTAGCCACAGGCTTCCCTAAGCCCTGAGTGCCTGTGGGTATTGGCAAGCCCGTGGTAACCCCGAGCTGCCACAGCCGTAATTGTTACACATGTCCACGCATTCCTGGGCCAACCTCAAACTTCTATTCTCGGGCGGCATGTGAAACGAGCAACATAAAGTAACTCCTAATCAGACAGCAGAGGCTCCCAGAGTCCTTGGGACCCCTAAAACATACGGGGTCGCAGTTACCTTGCACAACTCACAGGGTAGAGGGTGCCTCCCCTCCCCCGCCAACCCCGCTCCCACCTCTCCACCCCCTACCTCGGCTGGATAGCATTCACAGAGCTGCTCATCAGGAGCAAGGTGGCCAGCAGGCCTCACATGTCACCTTCCATGATGTGGCTCAGAGATATTCAGGTCTGTACCAGTCAAGCCATGCTCTCCAAGGTGTGGCTAGCAGAGGGCAGAGTCCCAGGGCTCCCTCCGGGGCTGAATCTTGGCTCCTCCTGCAGGACTCGGCTGGAGACCATCATCTGCAGTCTGAGAAGGGCCATGGGGAAAGTCCGGGGAACCAGTGGTCCCTGAACCTGGGAGAGGCTGCTCCTGGTGGAAGGTTTCCTTCTCGTCAGTCTCCTCAGCCTGGGGTCGGCCTATCAGGGGCGAGGGGCTAAGATGGAAGCGGCAGACGAAGGCCTCCAGACAGGGACCACCCTCCACATGCACCAGCATCTGGACGCCGGAGAAGAAGACCCTGCTGCCAGGACTCAGTGGCACCTGCTCCAGGAACCTCAGTGGCAGCCCGTTCACCCACACGCGGCTCCTGCGGCTGAGCACCTTGAGGCAGAAGGCCAGCACGGAGCTGCCCCTCTCCAGGTAGGGCTCCAGGGACAGGTGTTGGCGGGAGAGCTGGGGGAGTCGCAGCTGCAGGTGGGCGTCCTGCCCCCGCCCCACCAGCAGTGGACTGGTGTCATGCTGCAGCTGCGATGGAATGCCAGCAGAGGTGTGGTGGGGGCCCAGCGAGGGGTGGTACAGGCTCACGTGCAGGACCGTGTATGGCCTCTCCATGGATAAGAACCTGGGGAAGGAAGGGAAAACAGACACATGGGCGTGGCTGGAGACAGACACATCTCTGCCACTCCCCGAGCCCAGACATGTTTGCCAGCCTCTGGGGCCCTGACCACGTGTGGCCAGATGGAGCCTGTAGGGTATGACTCCCATGCTCAAGCAAGGATGGAGCCGAGGCAGCACAGCAGTTTTCTGGGTGCTCCCAGGACGTTGCAAGGGAAAGGCCTACAGGCTTGCGGGGTGCAGCTCTAGGGGCTGATGGGTCATCTGGGAACGATTTGACCCTTCACTGTGGAAGACAGAGGGACACATTTTGTGGGTATCTCACAGTCAGACAGTAAACTCTTGCTGAGGCCTCCTTTGTACCAGGCCCTCACTGTTGGGAGCCCGCAGCTGGAGGAGAAGCTGGGAGCCCCAAGCCTTGGAAGCTATGGGGAGACAGAAGAGAGAGGCCACAGAGGATCCTGGGCTGCAGAAAGGCTGCCTGGAGGACCCAAGGACAACCAACACGTGCTAGGTGTTTGCAGTAGGCCAGACCCTGAGCCAGCTCTGGCCCGCACCCTTGTCTGCTAAGAAGGCATCTTTTAGGGCCAGTGCTAAGCTGCTGCCTATGACCCTGGCATCCCACACGAGTACTGGTTCAAGTCTCGGTTGTTCCACATCTGTCCCAGTTCCCTGCTAATGTGCCTGGGAAAAAGTAGAAGATAGTCCTAGCACGTGGGCCCCTGCTACCTACATGGCAGACCTGGGCTGAGTTTCAGGCACCTGGCTTTAGCCTGGCACAGCTTCAACTGGTGTGGCCATTTGGGGGTGGAGCAAACTAACAGATGGAAGCTCTCTCTCTCTCTCTCTCTCTCTCTCTCTGTGTCTTCCTCTATTTTTGTAACTCTGCCTTTCAGATAAATAATTTTGTTAAGAAGGTATCTTTCATCCCAAAGTCTGTGCCCAAATGTTGCTCAACTTTCCAAGTCAACTTCAGATGTTACCTCTTTTATGAAGCTCTTTTCCTGGAGGGAGGTTACTTCTCCCTGCCCTCTGACCTCAACAGCAGGGAGAACCCCCTGGGACACCTGGCTCAGAGCCCCTTCCCCACCCCAGCCCATTCAGTCCACTGTAGCTATAGCTGCCTGAGTTCCATGGGCCCTGGTCCTGGCTTTTTTTCTTACTGAGCTCCTGCCTGCCTGAGTTTCCCTGAGGGCAGCAGGGTGGTCTATGCTGTGAGACTGTGAGGCTAGCCCTGCTCAGCAAAGATGGCACTTGGCCACAGGCATATCTGCCAGGCAACTGAATGGGAAGAAGCCCACAAAGGATGAATTCAGGGCCAAAGACAGCACAAGTGGGGGAGCCTGGTGCAATTAGAGAAACTCTGTGCTCTTGGGTCTCAGCCTCCTGCCACCCTTCTGGGAAAAGGAAGTCAATGGTGGGGGGCCTCCCAGCCTTAGAGAGACCCCCCTGCTCCATGTGCACAGACACTCGTGATGCCCCCTCCCTCCTCAACACACACACTTGGGTCCCTGCCTACAGAAAGTCCCTTCCGGAGGCGCAGGGTACAGGCTGGGCTCAGGGCAGCTGGCCTGGGGGTCTGCACCCTCGGGTCCAGCCAGAAACTCAGGAGTTCATGGCCAGAGACACCCCCGCAACCCACCCAGCAATCCTAAAGAATTCCGGGTAAGACAGAGTTCCTGCAGCCCAATGTGACCTTACTCCGCGTGGCTGAGCCGCTCAGAGGTGACAGCCGTCACCCTCCACGCATCTCTGGAGCTGCCTGCTCTGCCTCCTGAGCCTGCGACAGGAAGGTCTGGCACATGTATCTGGCTGGGAGCTCTGGCTTCTCTCATCCTCTGGCTCCCAGGCCCTTTGATCTCCACCTACCTTACAGTGCCGTTAGTGCTGCAGCTGGGAGTGCCCGCGGAAGCAGCTGCTCTGGGGCAGGGCTGTGGAGGGTTCTTGAGGTTCAGGTCTGGAAACACCCTTCGGATTTTGCCACTCTCTTCCCATTTCTCTTTAGGAAAGGAAATGAAAGTGGCCTTTTCGTTGCAAAAGTGTAACCCTCTGCTGAGAAGTTGAAAAACCCCAGCCCAGGATGCGCTGCTGAGAGGGTCCTCTGCATGGTGAGACGTCCACCTGGGTTTCAGCTTTGCCTGTCCTGACCATCCCTTCCCTAGGGACCTTGAACCTGAATCCATGGTATCAGCAAAATCCCTCTCCCACAGCTTCCAGGCTGGCTGGCCTCTGGGTCAGACCCTAGCTCCCATCCTCCATTACAGTGCTCTCTGCAGGCATGCCTCTTTAAATCCCTTCATTTTTCAAAGACTCCCATTCCAACAGCCTCATTCCTATGAAGACCCCATCTTCCAGTTCCCCATCTTCCTGCGGCTCTCCGAACCCAATGCAGCCGTGACATCTGGGAAGCAACCCAAGCAAGTTGTCTGAAGGATGAAAACGTAGTGGTGATGCATGCGCATGGGCAGAGAGTAACTTAGCATGGCGTGAGCTTCCGAGTGAGTTGTGGCACGCTATGGAAATTATGCAGAAATTCTACGCCCTGACCCCTGACCCTGCTCATCTGCCTCACCCCACGCCCCAGAAATCGGGGATCTTTTTCTTGGCTTCATAGTTCCGTCATGGAGGCCATGGAATTGGAATCACATAGGATGTAACCTTTACAGACCGCGTTTCCATCTTGGTTACATTTACTTGAGGCTTCTCTGTCTTTCTGTGGCTTTGCAGTTCGTTTGTTTTTAGCACTGAACAATATTTCATTGTAGGAATGCACTGCAGTGTATTTTTTTTTTTTTGTTCTCTTACTGACTTCTTAGTGGCTGGCACCTATTCCCACTGCATGCCTCCACCTGGTGCAGAGAACAAGGAAGGATGGCCAGGCCTGCTGGTGCCTATGAGGGAGAGAAGCCAGTGCAGGTTGCCCAGCTACAGCTGGCCCCAGGCCTGCTTGCTATCAGCCTCACACTACCATCGCCCCGCCCACTGGCAGCACCATATTCCCAGCTCAGTGAGAACAGATGCACATCTTTGGTGGACGCCTGGCCAACTAAGAGCCAGGGGCTGCACTGGAGTGTATAGAAGGCCGCACATGTCCAGGAAACTGAATCAGCTGAGCCGAAGGAGGCTGGCCATGCTCCAGAGCCCATCTCGCTGGGCACCCTGGCCTACTGAATGTCCCCAGTCATGGCACAGGACCTTCTAGTCTGGACAAGAGCATGGGGTTGGGCAGCCTCTCCTGCCCACCAGCGCAACAGGGTAGAGGGCTTTCCCTCCTGGCTGTGCAACCTCAGGCATGTGCTATGACCTCTCTGGGCCTTCGATGTTCTTTCCTGGGGCAGGGAGGGGGGCGGAGGACACCCCTCCCCTTCATGCCCGATTGCAGCCATGCCATCTTGGGAAATGAGTGGGCAGGGGACCTGTGTGTGTGTGCGGTCTGTCTCCACGTCCTCAGGAACTTGGGTCACAGCTGTCCCTAGCAGGAAAGGGAACTGAAACAGGAGGCCTCACCAAATCTTCTTGAAGCCAGAAGGGACCCTGCAGGCTTGGGGAGGGGGGAACAAATGCAGACGCTGGCTGGGGGCTCTCCCCACGCGAAGGGAGCCAGAATCCCAAAAAGGGAGAGAGGCTGGGGGAAGGCAGGTGCAGCCATCAGACCCTGTCCCACCCTACTGGTTTCATCAGTGACAACCCCACCCCCGTACCAGGCTGCTCCCAGAATATCCCCACCCCTGGGGCTTTCTGCAGGGCCTCTCAAGCAAGGTACATAGCCTCTTGGTGCCTCAGTCTTCCACCTTGTAAAATGGGGCTGATCTGCCATTATGGCCAGGGCTGGAGAAGACGGGCAGGCAGAGTTGATCATCAGGAGTCACTCTGCTTGGAGCCGTGCCAGGGCAGTGTGGGAGCCAAGCAGTTTGCACGCACCCTGTCTCGGGAGGGCCCCTTTTCTCTGAAGACAACCATGACGTTGGAGCTGAGTCCCAAATGTGCACAAGTTTGCCCTTCCTCCCATTGGCAATGACAGCCAGGCCAGAGGAAGGGGTTTTTTTTTACAGGAACACATCCCATCTGGTGCTGAGGAAAGCCACCCTTCTCACAGGTGGGCAAGCTGAGGCCTAGAACAACTTACTGAAGGCCAGGTAGCACTTGAGCCCTGTCTGTGGGGCTCCTGCCCCTCCCCACAAAGCAGTCAGGGTTCTCAGCCTTCTCTGGGATGCAGGCAGCCCCCAGCTGGTGCCTGTGCTACTTGACAGAGAGGGGGGCTCTGTCCAGGCCTCCTGAGCCATGTACCTCTGTGTCCCGATAACCTTTGGCCATCGCATAGCAGCATCTGTTAGCAAAGGGCCCTCAAGGTGTGGAAGGTGCCTTGGAGGCCTGGGGAAGCCATCAGGTAAAGCGTGTTAGGGTTGGAGGCGGTGGGGTGGAGAGAGAGGGGGACGTGGAATTCCTTACTTCTCAGCCTCAAAGATGCTGTGAACGGACGCTTGGCCCTCGGTGGATCCTTGGCAGGCATTGGAGATGATGCTGAAGCCAGAGCCCGAGGCTGTGGAGCTGGTTTGCAAGCACAGGTGCTGGGTTCTCATTGCGGCATTGTTCTGATTCACAGAACAAATGGCTGCAACAGTTGGCAGTAAGCCAGACCAAGGTCAGCAACCTGGAACTCTGTCTATGTCTCCATTTGGACTATTAATCACTGCCTTCCCAGGAGCATCAGCAGGAAGTTGGATCCAAAGCTGGTCAGCCAGGACTCCAGACCGAACCACTGCGCTCTCATGTGATGTGCTGGCATTGCACATAGCTACTTCATCTGCTGCAAAACGACGATCTTCCCCCTCCACTGGCTCTCACTGGTGACCTCCTTAGTCCTTGGGGACCAGGACCTGGGACAGGTGGGGGACCCTTGGATTCTTGCCCTAGGCCTTCTCCTCCATATCTCCTCCTTTACCTGTGCCTGCCCAGGCTCCTTTTATGACCCAGCTTCCTGCTGGTATGACCCTAAGAGGGAGCAGGTGATGGCTCAAGTATTTGGGTCCCAGCCATCCACATGGGGGACCCTGATGCAACTCCCTGGCTCATGTCTTCAGTCTGGCCAACCCCTGCTATTGCAGGCATTTGGGGAGTGAATTGGTGGTTTGAACATGTCTCTCTCTCTCTCTCTGCCTTTCAAATCAAATGAAAAGTGGAGAAGGACACTGTTTGGAGAACTTCCCAGGCAGCTACACAGGTAGAGCTTCCCAGATGTTGCTGTAGCTGGAGAGGATGCAGAAACCGCATGGCCCTTCCCACACCTCCCCTGTGTCCTGTCCTCTGTCCTCTGTGTCCTCTGTGTCCTCAGCAATGTCCTTTCTAAGTTCTGAGAGTCGCTCAGAACCCCAATTTGCGGGCTGTGGGAACCGCTATTTGTAGCAGATCAGCCAGACTCAGAGGTGAGCCCATCTGAGGCTTCCCAAGGAGTCCCGGAAGGGAGCGACAGCAGTCCAGGTGCTGACTCTGTCTCTAGGCAGACAGCATGAGAATGGAAGTGACCTGGAGCCTGCCAAGAATGGGTCCTGCAGCTATAGAGCCGGCTGCTTACCCGGCGCAGCGGCAGAAACGGTCTTGGAGTTTGAGCTTGCGTTTTGTTCATTCACAGGTGAGCTGGGCTAGCCATGTAACCTCACGGAGCCTCAGTTGTCTCTTTGCAACATGCTGATGGACTCACAGCCACCAGGCGTCTCAAGCAGGGAACACACAGCCTGCTGCAGTGAGTCTGGGGCCGGGGTCAGCCTGTGGGGACTGGGCAGCTTGCCGCCTGTTTCGGGCCACAAAGAGGACAGAGAATGACTGCTGTCCAGTCTTCTGCTGGTCCCCTCCTGCATTTCTTGTTAGGTTTTTCTACACATATTTTCCCTCCCTGTGGCTTGTGGGATCTCAGGTGGTGGTTTCCACAAAGCCATTCCATTGGTCCAGAGCTCCTCATGATGGCTGCACAGTGTCAGTAGCCCAGGCTCCTTCTGAATCTTGCTATTCTGCAGGATGGGGCTCCCCTACCAAGCCCACTGTCTGCACAGCGGGGAGCGGGCAAGCATGCTCTTCCCCGTGCAAGGTGCAGTCTGCATCGCTCTGCTAGCTCCCTGCTGGCCCAGCCCCGGGGATCATGGCTGCACCTGACTGCCAGGCTAGCTGGATGCTGTGTGATCAGCGGCCACGTGAGGGCGCTCATATCGCAAACGCTGCTGTTACCGGAGCTGGTGCCCTGCTGGAGGGGTGGAACACTACGCCATCATTGCAGGCCTGCATAGGGAAGTTCTCGGTCGGCTCTGCGTGCTTTGGGTGCAGACCAAGGACAGGGACAGCAGCAGCACCAGGACTGTAGGTTAGCAGAGGGGAAGGTTTCCCTGAGGGAGAGGACCTGGACAGGGAGGTCACTGGGAGCTGGAGGGTGGCTGATGGCCAATCTTTGGATACAGAGAAAGAGATGGCTAGAGGGAAGAAATCTAATTAAATTTCTTTTTATTTATGTGAATGGCAAAGTGACGCACATATACAGAGATCGTCCGCCTGCTGGTTCATTCCCCAAATAGCCGTAACAGCCAGGGTTGAGCCAGGCCAAAGCCAGGAGCCTGAAATCCAACCTGGCTCTCCCATGTGTTTGCAGAAACTCAAGCACTTGGGCCGTCTGCTGCTTTGTTCCCAGCCAGGCACATTAGCAGGGAGCTGGATCCGAAATGGAGGAAGCTGGGACTTGAACTGGCACCATAGAGGATGCTGGTGGGTCACAGGTGGCGGCTCAACCTACTGAGCCACAAAGGCAGCCCCTATTCACCAAGTGCGAATAAGCAAAGTGAGGGGCAGAGAAAGGTCTCCCTTCCCCAGGCGT